TCCTGCCTCAGTCTCCCGAGTGCTGGGATTACAGGCCTGCGGCACCACACCCGGCTTCAATTCTTAAGACCACTTGCAAGAATACATAAAACCCCAATGTCTCCGAAGGGATGGTTCCTTACCTTTTTAACTATCCCTCCCCGTCCTCATTTACCACGTAGGATGCCCTCTGGGAGCAGGTGGACACCCTGGGGGAACTTCATGCTTGGTTAGAAACAGCGCTAGAAGTGAAACACACACACACACTCTGTGCTTTCTCTCTGGCCTACGCCAGTTCTAAAAGATCATTCCACCCAGAGGGAACCCAAAGGGATGAAAAAATTCATTCTTACTTTCTAAAACAAGAGGATGGAAAAATGCAAAACAACCCAAGAGCCGCCATCCATCTTGATGCTGGTGCCCTTTATTTCCGTGCACATTTAAGACATCCCTGGCCCAATAAAATGAAGCGTCCATACAGAAAGCACACAAAAGCACAGCTTCTCATTCTCTCTGCCATGTTTTGCTTTTTCAGTACAGTACTGAAAAAGTCACTGCTGTAACTCAGAATGAACACTTCTAAAATTCTTGGGCCCATGGGGCACCTCAAAACTTTCTTTGGGGTGGCAAAATTAATTTCAGACCTATCATTTTGTCATTTAAAGTCCCCAAATCTAGAGCCAGAATAATTAGGGATGCTGGCAGGGTAGCAGGGGAAAAAAAAAATCTCTTCCAAGGCTTTGTCCTGCTCCTGTGAGACTGGCAGTTCTGCTCAGGGTCCAGCGAGAGATTGTGTAATCCTGACACCGCTGGGAGCACACCAACCTTGAAAGAGCTTGCTTCCTCCTTCGACCTGGCCTGGCAGGTCCTGCAAACAAAGGACCATTTCATTGTCCACAGAACCAGCTCCGAGCACATTCTGCTGGATTTAAAGCTATAATCTACTCACCTACCTGACCCGGTGGCTAAGAAGTGGCTGTTTATTCATCGGTATAAGTAGGATTTCTGAGTTATGTTTGGGTTTTATGTTTTCCTTCCTCTCACTGTAACAAAGACATAAAGGGTGTGACCGGTGTTGCATGTCCCCATGAGGTTGGCGGCACAGGCTGTGACCGGACTTCAGCAGCACTAAGCGTGGGTTACATTAAAGGAAAAGTTTCTGGCCAGGGCAAGTGATGGACCCTAGGGACAGAAGCCATTCCCTGACCCTGGCGGGTAGGAAACCTCTAATTTCCCCTCTGGCCACATCAAATAGACTTGGCTCTCTCAATTATGATCTAAAGGAATTAGGAAGATCCTGTCCCTCCTTCTTTATCTTTTAAATATCTTCACTGTTAGGTCTTTGTTTCTTACTAAAAGCTATTTTAAGAGTACCCTATTAAAATAAGTTTATTTCATGGAGGTTTTTGCCTGAAACATGACCAGTTTTCTAGTAGGGACAATGTGTAGGGGGAGGACAAAACTCTTGGAGAAGGACCACCAGGTGGGCTGGAAGAGAGGAAGACTAGGAGGTCGAAGGAGAAGGAAATATTTTGTCTGCAGGTGGTCCTGACTCTTAAAGCCACTAGCAAGACAAAACAAAGCGTTAGGTCCCTCACATTTTACCCCGCCCAACTTGAAGAGAAAAGCTCCAACAGACAATCAGTCTGTCCAAACAGAGAGCCCCTCACTCAGCTCGAGAGATGAAAGTAAATCTGTTTATCAGGATGGCTCCCAGGCCTAGTTCCCAGGCTTACAGGAAACCTCGTAAGTCTACAGCCAGGCTGTAAATCAGCAACATGCTGATGTCCTCCTGCGTTTCCTTCCCCCAGAGGCACTAGACCCACCAATCACTCCTGAGAAACTTAAATTTTCCACCTTCCTCGGTGGAATTCCCCCCTCCCATACCTAAATTAGTCTATACGGTAGGCTCCTTCCTTTGTTCGGGGCCAACGGCTTTTTCGCCCTTGGCCCAGTCTGCACCCAGCCTGAAGTAAAGATACGTTGTTTGCTTCAATCCTGTCTGTCCTGGGGGTCTCAGTCGCTACTCGGGGTCTAGCCTGACACCAGGCTACTGTGCCACCACTGGGTTGAGGACATGCAGGCTGGGGGAGGGAGGAGGGGACAAAGAAGAGAGGAAGAGAAGAGAAAGGAGAGGGTCTAGCCTTACAGAGTTTTTTAACAGGGCCGTGCCCAGTTGTCCCCAGTGAAGGCTGCTGACCACTGGTCCATGACAGTGGTGAGGTGGAATTCACCCTGGCCTGGATCACAGGGGTTCAGTCCCCGTCCTGTCACAAGAGCCTGATGACCTCTGGAGTTTCTTATCCATAACAAGACGGAGTTGGCCACCTAGTCCAAAGGTTGCTTCCAACTCTAACAGTTGCTGTGTTGTGAAATGGTGACTGTTTTAAATGCCCAGGACTCCACAACCAGTAGGCAGCCGTGCCTTCACCAGAGGATATTCTAGTTAAGCCAAGGGAGTGATTAGCCAGGGAGGCCACTGTACCCCTCCTTCCCAGTGATGAGTCTCTTTGTTGGCAGAAAGTTCAGAGGAAAAGTGCTTGGAAATTGCTGCTCAGCTCGATTCCTTTCCTGAACCTCGAGATAAGAAAGTCTTTGTTTGCATCTCAAGCGTGTCTCAAGTTACATAACTCACTTTTATTAACACTCTCCCTGGCTGCTTTATATTCAGTTTTTTAGTTGCCCTGGTTTGCTGGCTTTAATTAAATAGGTGGCCTTGAATTTATGCTAATTTTTTTGCCTTTCTCTCTTCAGATCTTGACAGAATAATTGAACTAGTTTGTTTAGTAAACACTGAGACCAGCTCCGCCATCCACGGCCTGACTAGTGGCCTGGGACAACTCTGGGAAAGTTTTGTGCCTGGTTCAGGAAGGGTTTTCTTTTTCTTTTTCTCTTTCTTTCTTTTTTTTTTTTTTTTTTTTGGTTTTTCTCTGGTACCGG